TAACTCCTCAAAAAGACATAGGCTTCAATTGTTTTATTAACAAATTAATACTACAGAAGAGAATGTTTGCAATTCAGAGATGCAATGGGTAATATAAAGTGTATCTGAAAAGTATTTCTTTTTTTAGTGATATGTATGTAACTCAAATTTTTTATAGGTGTGAAGGATTATTAATTGGCATATATGTACTAAAATCTCTTCACTTAAAATGGCAGTCTAAATCCTACTATCAGTCTCATTATTTTTTAAAATAGATTAAGGAGCTCATATTTTGTGCCTTAAATACTTCAAAAGATATTGAGTTTGTTACATATATATAAAAAGAATTGCTAACTTCTGTGTTTTTAATGAACACAGGAAAATAATACTTTTTGTATAAAATATGGAAACTGTACAAGTCATTTTAGCACATGAAGATAATACAGTGGTAACCCAATTCCTGTCTAAAATCTGAATTGGATTAATACAATTATATTATTATTTGACTTCTACATATTCTATACCTTAATATTAATTATAACTGTTAATTCTTCATGGAATTATAAATGTTCTTCAACAATGTTAATCTGTATATATTGTGCCTTAATATGAAAAACACAGCAATTTTTTAAACTTATAAAAGATTTTCATTGTTTTATTTCATATGCATTAAAACTTTGAAGATGTCCATATTACCAAAAATGTGGACAGAATACTTTGCAAGTTTAAAAATGCCTTTATGAAAGGAGTCTCATTAGACAGTGATTTTAAGGGTACTGGAAAAGCATTCTGCCTATAAATTTACCAGGTGGTTAATAAAATTGCAACACCAAAATGAATTATATCTTGTGAAAATACACTCATTTTATGTCAACCAAAACTAATGAAATACATATACTCATCCAAATATATGTATTCAAAATATTTTTTCCATGAAATCATCTAGATGTGTTAATTAATGTGGTTGCACTAGAGTAATGACAGCATTTTATCCTTTTAACAGGAAAATTGATGCTTTCCATTTTTAAGTCAAAATGCATTCTGAGTATGGATAAAAGCCTCAGAAATTATTTATAAAATTTAGGATTTCCTATTTAGTATGCCATACTACAGAAGATACCTTTATGGTCACCTTTCTTAGTAAGTGCTTATTGTACTATATCTTTGAAACATTTGTACCTAAATAATTGAAAAAAGTACTTTCATGCTGAATTTAAATACCATATGATTGTGCTATAATATGGCATATGGTTATGAAGATTTTTATGTATGTACTTAGGTAATTTCAGGTCCCCTAAATTTTAATAAGTACTGCAGTTAAATCCAGACATGGCAGTTCATTAAGATGAGCGTCAGTCTTGCCTCTAAACCCGGCATTGAGAGAACACTTATTTTTCTATAAATTCTGGGTCAGAGTCACCAGAGGCATGCAGGGCTGCGCTGTCCATCTGGGTTATTGACCTACTCTGAAACCTAGAGAAATTACTTCATCACGGTTCAAGAGGATGATTCAGTAAGGAACACTGACTACAGTGAACCCCAAGGTATTAGAAGAGAGTAAAAGGGCGTCTCATGATTACAAACAGCATATCACAGAGGCTTCCTCTCCCAGGACAAGCATTCTGCTAATTCTGTTCCTATAGGGGCTGCTGTCACTCCTAGAGAAGTTCATTGCTTCCTTCTGTCCAAGATCTACTGTGAAGTAATGGCCTTCCTGAGATATGCATGTAGTGTTGCCTCGGCACAACAGATCCACAGGAAGCTCTCTGAGTGACCTACTTGGACCATACCTGCTTCCTTCATTTACTTACCTGTGAGATGAAGCTATAGACCAGGTCACAGTTTTCACAGCACTCCATAGATCCCACAGGAGTCTTGGGAACTTACCATAGCCAGGCCTTGAGTAATCAGCTTTTCCAAGACATTGAACATAGTCAAGAGAATAAAGAAATTACTTGACCCTTTACCCAGATCTAATCCTTTTCTCTGGATCTTTTCCCCAGCTCAGCTTCAGAAGATTTGTTTCTAAAACCCTTTCCTAAGGAACTATGTTTTATGGGTTAAAAGTTAGTCTCATAATTTTCTACTTTGGATTTATCCCATTAGAATGCAAAGCAATGGGCAAATAAGCTGCAACTGGTTAATGTATGCATTTGAATTACAGTTGACCCTTGAAGGACATGGGGGTTAGGAGCACCGATCTCCCATGCAGTTGGAATTCCTTGTATGACTTTTGACACCCCAAATATTTAACTGCTAACAGCCTACTGCTGACCAGAAGCCTTACTGTTAGCATAAACAGTCGCTTAACAAATAGTTGGTATGTTATATGTATCATATACTGTATTCTTACACAAAATTAAGCTGGAGAACAGAAAATATTTTTCAAATTGTTGCAGATCTCCAAAAATATTTTCCAATATATTTACTGAAAAAATTCCATATGTAAGTGGACCCATGCTATTCAAATCCATGTTGTTCAGGGGTCAACTGCATATCCTTTACCTCAGATCAAACTAGATTCTAAACGCATTCCCAAGAAATCATCTATTTCATCAGATTTTCCTTAATTCCTTTTACTAAGTATTATCTACTAAAAATATAAAACAAAACAAGGAAGTTTCTGGAGGTAGAAATTCTAATAAAATACTATAAGCCTTCAAAAATGCAGAGAAACGGGTAATTTAGCTGGAAATTGACATGCATATCATGGCCTGCAGCATTAGTAACACTAATCTTGGAAGTCAAATGAGACTGTTAATGAGATGAATAATTTTAGTTGAAGGAAAAGTTCCAAATTTGAATATAAAATTACCAAGAATATATGAAAGAAAATTAGTCTTTTAGGATATCAACCTGCTTTTGTTTTCTTTCAGTAAAAATATGGGACAGGGCAGCAACTAATAGGAATTTTTTAATTGACTAGATGGATTACTGAACACCAGAACCAAATTCTAAGTGAAGCCATGATTTTCTTTCCCCACAACTCAGTAACTTCAGGAAAGACACCTGTTTTTTAAAAATGGTTTAAATCAGACTATTTTAGGAGGTGAGCAAGATTTTCTGTGAGGCGATGTATAGTAATAATCATTCAGAATAAATTTTTCTAATGCACGTGATGTGTAAATACATACTACCGCATGAAGTAGCTCTCTTCATTTCTAATGAGTAAAATGATAATATTATCAAGTAGATTCACCTTTCCTACAGAATTTATGAGAAAGAACTCTTATCCATCATGGTGAATTATGTTTAACTGTGCCTTTAAAATTATTTTTGCTCATTCTGTGCTAATTAGTTTCATTTTGTATTTTCAATAGTACCTGGCACAGATGTTAAATAAATGGTTGTTGAGTAACATTGAATTGAAAAAATATCTTCTTCAGCCCAGGTATGGATAAGACACCACTATAATTTACTTATGATTGAAATTTATCCAGGACTACGTGGTCATGTCCCTTCAGTCTGGCAAGAGACGGCCGCATCACTTCTTCAAGCCATTAGGTACTTTTCACGGTCACTTTCCCATGGTTTTGGTAGGTTTTATAGCAGATTCAAAAAAATGTTTTCCAGCTTGCATCACATGAATTTCTTTAAGTGGATTACCACCATTACCTGTATTTGCTGGAATATTTAAATAAACACAGTTAAAATCAATTTTGTGGCTATTAAATATTTACACAACAATCAGTGTTTCTAACATACCAGACATATGCAGGATGACTGGCAAGAGACTGAGCACAGGTTATCCTAACTGTCTGGTAAACAAAATATTTAAAACATGCATTATAGTAGTCATGAATAAAAAACCTGAATGTCACCCACCTCCAGAAGGCATCAGCAGTGCCCGAAAATATCCAGAGCTTATTTTGGTGTGTCTGTTACTAGATATGACTCAACTATTTTTAGATGTTGCTACCGCATGCAGCTGAGGCAATAGTGCCAAGATTTAACAGTGCTTAGATTTGGCAAATACACATAATTCATGATGCAGTTTCTAGAATCTGATTGTGCAGAGCCTCCAAGCCGGCGGCCTGGACTCTAGGTCACTCTGTTCTCCAGGGAGGGACCAGCAACAACTAAGCAATCTACGTGCAGTCTTACCAGACACTAGATTCAGGTAAACACAGAGGAATTTAAGTGTTAACAAAGAAAAAACAAAGGTAACAACCTATCCTACAGTTAATTTTCGTCACCCTGTTTGGTAACTAGCTTTTCAGATGAACGGCCTGTGATTTCAGTGGCATCATGTGTGACTCGGATGGCAAAGCAGCGTCAGGATCCTGCTGCCTCGCGCTCTACCTCTCCACCCTCTGTGAGCCTTCAAGTCACGTCAGCTGACCCGAACTAATCACGCTACGCTTTTATCAGAAAAACTGACGTGAAATTCCTTTAACAAATTTGGGGTAAAAAATGTACAGCTTAGCAAAACAGCTTTCATCCACATAATTACCAAAGTGAGATCTACACCGTCCATTAGTCCCGTTATGCCTAGATTAAGAGAATCCCAGTATACGAAACAGGATTGGGAGAAGTAAGATTAAGGCCCCATCCTACCCATGCTGACCTGCCCTGCCCAGCGAGGACTCCCGCAAGCCCCCAAGCTACTGGGAAAGGAGAGGACAGGCCACTGAGGTGAACCTACGTGGAGTTCCGATCTGAAATCATGATTGCATACGGTCTCTCTAAAAACTCCTGCGTGAACCTCGAAAAAAGTAAGAACAAGGAATACTCTTCAGCAATTCAAGTGCCAGTGGGCTTCATTGGTATATATGGCCTTTGCCTCGTCTTCCACGCAGGAAGGAGGCCCAGCCCTCCTGTGGCTTGTTACTTCTTTGTTTTTTAACTTTTTTTATTTTTTTTATTGAAGGGTAGTTGACACACAGTATTACATTAGTTTCAGGTGTACAGCACAGTGATTTAACATTTATATACATGATAATTCTAGGTACCAGCTATCACCATACCAAGTTGTCACAATATTTTGACTATATTCCTTATGCTGTACATTACATCCCGGTTACTTTTGTATTTTACAATTGGAAGTGTGTACTTTTTCTTTTTCTTTTTTTGTGAGGGCATCTCTCCTATTTATTGATCAAATGGTTGTTAACCACAATAAAGTTCTGTATAGGGGTCAGTGCTCAGTGCACAGTCACTGACCCACCCCAGGGCTTGCTACTTCTGCCTTTCCATTTTGAGGGTCCTAAAGCCAAGTGCCCACGCCCTTCGATGCCCTGCCAGGCCCAAGTAGCCACGAGGGAAGGAGGCAAGGGCCTGTGGCAGGCTCCTCCCAGCCTCCCGGCCCGTCGCAGCCCCCTCCTCCCAGGCCTCAGCCTGGCCAGGCTTCAGTGCCCACCCGGCTGGAACCTCTACCACTGCCTCACCAATGAGGAAGGCCAAGGCAGGTGAAGGGGAGGCCGTGCCATCAGAACTGGCGGGTGAGATAACGGGTGCGTCGGTCCGCTGGCTTCTGTCATGCACGTCCCAGCGAAGCCTCAGGCACACGGTGGGTTAAAGGGTTTGGATGGACTGGCCTGATGTCTAGATATTGAAAGTGTGCTCTGGAAACAGTAGTTCTACCAGGCCATGAGCAAAACAAACTAGATATTAGTGATGTGGGACAAATGCGGTTTGGAAAACACTTCATTCTGTATCTCTCTTCTTTAATATTTACAACATGCATTACTGTATTAAAGGCTCTGAGAAGTCATAAGGTTGAAAAAGGAATCTCTTGACATGCTTTCCCAGACCTTGTATAAACAAGGACCTTTCCTGCCATGAAATCACTCTTAGCCTTGAGGAAACGTGCTCTGTAGAACAGGTTTGCAGGTATTTTCATCAAGGGCCTGACAGGAAATACTTCTGGTTTTGCGGCAGGGTTGTCAGACAGAATAAGGGACACTCAGTTAAATTTGAATTTCAGACAAAAATTTTTAGTAAAAGTATATCCTCAGTATGTCCTCGAAATTATTGGCTGCATCGCTCTGTATTTTATTCACTAAATCTGCAACCCTACTGGACCATTTGCCCTCTGGCCACTACTCAGCTGAGCTGTTGTAGTGCAAAAGTGGGGACAGACAAGGCGTAAGATGAACAGGATGTCTGTGTTCTCATACAACTTAATTTGTGAACATGGAAGTGTGAATTTCATGTAATTTTCATGTGCTAGGAATATTTTTCTTTTGATATATTTTTTCAACCAGGTAAAAATGTAAAAAGCATTCTTAATTTGCAGGCATTAAAAAAACACACAGCACACTGGCCATGGGCTATCACTTGCTATGCTAACAATGCTTTCTGAATGAACAGATTTGAACAAGGGGCTTCTTGTGGTACAAGTGATTGGGAAGTCTAGGAAGGCAAGTATCTGAATCTGCTTTAGGGCTGCTTCATCATGCAACTGCTAGAGAACTGAGTTGAGCTCTGCCAACAAGCTTGCCCTTTTTCAGACTCAACTATTTCTGCACAAATCAGAACCGAAATGGCTCCGAATTAGCAAGCCTCTAATTGGTGGGCCCCCAGCTTGGGAGCAACCACCAGTGTGACTGACACTCAGTAGCCCGCATGCCCCACTGAGGAAAAAGCACAGCACACCTAACCTAACACAGTTCCAGACTGAAAACCTACACCAATGTTTTAACTATTTTTAAAATTTTAAATAAATGAGGTAAAACTACAAAATCCATTTTAGCAAGTAAAAAGTTAAAAATAAAACAAAACAAAAACTTACATAAAACAGGAACAACTCTTTCCCTTGAAATCCCTGAATTACATTTGTGCCTACAGGTTTGGGCAGGAAGATGATCAAGTGTAGATTCTCCCACTGTTGGTTTAACTTCAAACCATTCTATAAAATATAAACACAAATTGTTTTTAAGTTCTCTACAGCTATTCTCAAAATAAGACACCATAATTTAAAAATTAAGCAAACTACCTAGACATCTGTTTTATCATATTTCTAAGAGTGGTATGAATATATAAGTTGGTAACCCTCTCCCTACATTGTTCATATCTTTGATGCACAGAATAGGTGCTTTAAAAAGTTATTTTAAAGGCAATATCTTTATGTTTCTATTAGGTTTTTTTCAAAAGTTTTTATTCAATAATGCTGATCACAGAAGAACTTAAGTGGGACAGGGGCCTGGCAGGGAGTGGTCAGTGTCATACTCTCTTCCTCAGACTGTAAAGATATCAATTAATTTTAGACTAAGATAAATATGCATGTTAAAATGTCTAGCACTAAAAACAGAAGAAACTGATAATTTTCCAAGTAATTTTTGGAAAAAATATTCAGCCCAAAAGAAGAAGAAAAAGTGAGGCAAAAAATAAAAAACAGAAAAGAGGAAAATAAGCACAATAATATAATAGATATGAATGCAACTATTAACAATAAGAATCACAGAATTCATAACAGTAAAGTCAAAGTAAATGAAATAACAAAAGTCATATAACAGGACACTTCATAGAACAAATTAGGACTTGCTTTACCGAATATCAACACTTAATATAAAGCAGTAGAAATTAAGACCACGGGGGTGTTGAAGTAGCACACATGTCGACACAACTGACCAGGGCTCAGAAACAGCCCCAAATATATACAGAAGCTTGAAACATTTGAAACATGATGTGTTAAAAAAGCAAAAAAGGTTACTTACTGTGTGTGCCATCTGTTAGGGCTCAGAGGGCGAATGCTTTTCGATACTTAGAGTATTATTTCAGTGATACTTCTGGAAACTTACCAGTGGGTTACCAGTTACTAGCTACCCCATCTGCCTTACCATCTAAGTACTCACAAGGCTACTATGAAGAGGTAATGCTGACCTTCCTCCAGGGATCAGAGGGAATCGTAATCCAGGCTATCCCTAACGTACTGATGTCCTGAGCTCTTTGAACATTCCCATCCTCTTCTACCTTGAGCTGATACATGAATTTCTCATTTTCCTCAAAATTTTATGTGAATAGATTCCCTATCATTGTTCTAAAAAATGACTGTAAACTATGCTAACCTCTGCTTTCATCAAAAAAGAAAAAAAAAGAATAAATGATATAAACAAACTGCTGCGACAATAATAAATCATTCTACAGCTAGCATAAGAAGAGTACTTTCTGTTTAAAGCACGACAGAACTGAAAGGGGATGATGGCAAATGTTCCTTTCATCTGTGCTCAAGTATTGCCTACTTAAGCTTGGAAGAACTCAGCTGAATACTACCAGGAAAACTTACTTGGATTCAATTTTCTGCTTAGTTTTCTTTGCAACATTTGTAAAAGGAGGAGGAACTCTACTTTAAGTTCATTGCTGAGCATGTTGGGATTGCTCATTAGTTCTGATAACCTAATGTTATCTTTAATGGACTTTGACGCTGTAGACCTTGTAACCAGGGGCAGACGCATCTGGTAACCGTAGTCTGTGAAACTCACGAAGTCATCCTGGATACTTTTAACTCTGGAAGTAAAAAATGAAATACTGCTGACAAGCTACATTTTAGGACTGAGATTTATATTACCAAAAGTTTCATATTACTAGAAAATTCCAAGTAACTCACTCTCGATGTGTTAACAAGGTGTAAATCTCTTGTATCAGTATTTCAGGTACTCCGGCTTTACAATGAATTGTCCCATGGATTAGTTCTTTGGGTAATTTAAATTTTTTTCGTGCCAGGAACTTCAATAGTAGAAAGAAAATATTTTCATCTTAAATTCTATAAAAATCTCCAATGACTATGAGTTTACCTTAATCTCCCTTTTATCTGAATTTTTTGGTTTAATGTGTTAATTATTAAAATATATTATTGTTCAGCAAGAAAACCAATCACCATATTCCACACCAATCTGAAATGAGTATATGCTCAATTTCATAGATAGCCCATGACATAAACTTCAATAATCTTCTTTTCAATACAAGCAAACAGCTACCAGCTTAGGAGCATTGTATCCTAGCACACAGTCACACACGGAATAAATACGTAGATACTAAGACATCGGAAATACACCTTTTAAAACATGCATTTCTTAACAGTTAAAAGTGCCAGTGTTGCTAACTTACCTTCTCCAACTGTGCCCAGTTATCCAGCTTGACTTTTAAAGAAGTTCCATTTTCAAAGAATGACAATTTAAGGTCTGCAGGGTAATATATAGTGAATATTTCTGCAACCAGGAAGCCATTTGAAAAGTCTCTGATCCATAGCAAAAAGGAAATGAATCTAGTTATTTAGTTTGTATTGTTTTATCATTAACACAAATGTAATATTCCATAGTGACAGCAAGTAACTTTGAAAGTTTGATCCTTCCTCTGAGGACCACCTCTGGAATAGCCTTTTGGTAAGATCAGATACACACTAAGGGTTTGGTTCTTCATAAGAACCCAAACCATTAATTTGTACTGAATCTGCCTCTAACAAGGTCCCTAGGTGATTGCCTTGGAAATTTCAAATGTGTTCTTATTAAAGAATGTGGAAATAAGTAAACAGCAGAAAAAAAAGACATCATTTTTGTGGAATGTAGGTTGCATTCCCAGAGCAAATAATAACCGCCAGTTACATTCAAGGTGGCCGCAGTTCAGCAGCAACTTCTTTCAATCCCTGAAAACCCTCAAACTAGAGGCCATCTCTAACGAAGGGTAAACTGATCCCCACTAGTGTTCGTGTCCAGCGTCCCGAAGAAAGTGGTGCTTTGCCTATTTTAATACTTTTGTGGTCACCAAAGCCTTCTATTTTAACTTAAGTCTAAAACGGAATGGTTGAATGAACAAATGGATGAAATGTTTATCACATGTTTTTCAGGCCGGCTCGCTGACAGGGCAGGAGTGTAGCTAGTGAGTGGGCAGGTGTCTCGACCGGCAGCCTAAGCTCGGCGGACCGGGCGGGGGCGGAAGTGGGGCGGACCCCGAGGCGGAAGCGGGGCGGCGGCGCGGACCCCCGGCTGCTGTGGGGACGGCGGCAGGCCGGCGCCGCTCGCTCCAGCACCTGTTGACGTTCCTGGGGAAGAAGCTGAGGTCCAGGCCCTGCAGCCAGCGCAGAACCGACCGAGACAGGCGGGAGCTCCTCGGGGCGTGCGGATAGACCAGGTGCTTCCTAGGCTTCCCTCGAAGGGGAGCCACTGGTTGTGGCGAAAGTGACGGCAACTCGGGTACGGCTGCCGCCCGCAGGGTCGGAAACCTTGCCACCCGGCCGGCGGCAGCCATGTCGTCCTCTGGGTTTCTACGGCGGCGTCGGGGGCGGGGCCTCGGCGGAGGCGCGGGGCCTCACGGGCGGGGCGGGGCGGGGCCTCAGGGAGGGGCGGGGCCTCCGCTCCCGAGTCCTGGGCCTCGCTGGTCCCCAATTTGCACCCGACCCACTGGGCTGGGGGTCTCGGTCCCTGGCAACCTTGGGCCTGGGCGCAGGCGCAGTGTGGGTAATTAGCCTCATTAGTAACCAGTTTAGAGCCCACCCCCGTATAACTTTATATTTTAAATGTAGTTTCCGCCCAGTTGAAGTCCTATATTCTGTCAAGCATTTTGAGGGGGCTGTGAGGAGGTGCGCGAATACAAGGACAGTTTTTGTTTGGAGATAGAAATAATAGGAGTTTTGCTCCAAAACACCAATAAAAAAATGTTGAAAATTAAAATGAATAAATGTTTAATGTCCACAAAATTTAACATACCTGTTTCCTTAATTGTTACATTAAGTGACCATGAAAATTGAAATGAAACAATTTGTAAGTTAGATTTTGGTAGTTGAAAACAATTTATAAATTAGATTTTCAATCTTCACAAAGATGCCCTAGTATGCGTGATTGGAACCCCTACTATGACGTCATATAACTATGACGCTGATCTAGTCATTTGGGAACAGTGAACAAAAACAGAAAAACAAAAGATTGCAGAGCAAGCATCAACAACTATAAATGCTTTACACAATAAAGTTATTAAAATCCGTAAAAACATGCAACAAAAGTTGCTGGCATGTCGATACATATTATTATGAAAGATAAAATATGGGATAAATATTGATACTGGAGCTATACAATATTTGGTTGAATGTTTATTCATATGCATGTTAAAAGTAAACCAATATGAGTCTGTAGATGGCTAAAAAGTTAAACAGAAATGAAGCTATACAGTGTTTTTTGCCCAAACCAGTTTTTCATGAATGATTCATTTAGTGAACTTTTTTTGAGGAACTTTTCTAATATGAGCTATGCACTACGTATGCTGTGCATTAGATCTTCACAATCCAATATAGTAGCCACTAGCCACATGTGGCTATTTTAGGTACAGATAAAATAAAAATGAGTAACAGGCTACATTTCAAGTGTTCATAACAACCACGTGTGGCTAGTGGCTGCCATCTTGTACAGCACAGTTACAGCATTTATCATTGCAGGAGGTTCTGTTGGGTGGGCAGCTGTGCACCAGATCATTTACAGGAGGTACAGAGATACAAATATCAGTTATATCTCCCATGATAAAAATGTATTTGTATTAGGGAGGAAGCAAATAATTTGACCTGAGGGAGTCTAGGAGTCCTCTCAGAGTTACCATAGATTTGGATCTTACAAGGTGGTATTTGAATTGGTTAAGACAGGCTTTGGAGGACCGGCTTTACTTGTTATTAGTTATGTGACTTTGGGCCATTGTTATTTGTAAATGGTGGAAATAACTAGGTATGCCTCATAGGACTGCACTGAGGATTAAATAAGCAAGTTAAATATTCAGATTCGTAAATGCTAAGTATAAATGATTGTTTCTAAGATCATGGTGGAAACCACAATTCTACACCAAATGGTTCATGTAAGCAAAAGTGTAAATGATATGGACTATATATAGTATGATATGAGAAGTTTATATGAGTTCTAGGAAATAAGTAACCCATTGAGGTTAGGGAAAGTGCTTAGGCTTTAGCCTGAGGGCTAACCCAAGATTTTGGTGGTCATGGCTAGAGAGGTGGATTAGGGCTATAGATCAGGGCTTAATAGTCTTGCTCAGGAGTTAGAGTTTTTCCTGCAGTTGATGTGCCAACTGTTAAGCAAATATGCCTCTGTTTGAAACCTGCCCTTCTAGGTTCAGCCTTGTGGAGCTGGAACTGGGCACTGGAGTTCACCTTTGCCAAGAGTTTTTATTCAATTCTGCCAATGGGAAGAACTAGAGAGAGGCCAGAAGGTGAGGGGACAGGAGAGGGATTTGGGTGTCACCACAGCCACAAAGCTCAGCTGGCAGTGGCAGGTGGTTCCAGGCTCCAACACTCTTTAGCACCCTGGAGGTTTCATCACACTCCCTCGGAGGTTTCAGCAACTGCTGACAAGTGGCCCCCTCCAATACCCAGCCCCCGGTTCTACCCGAGGACCGCCCCTGGGAGCTGTGTGCTCTCGCCTCCCTAGTCAGTCTGTAGGGCTTTTCCTCCAAGGTCCAGGCTTGAGTAACCCTGGCTTCTTAAATTTGTTCTCCAGCACTGGGCAAGGGGAATGGGGGTGGCGGGGGCATTGCTGCCTGAATGGTCTGTTAATCTGATGGTCTCATTCTAGTGTTTCAGCTCCTCAGCACCTGTGTAACCGTTTACTTATATTAAATTCTTGTTGCTGAATCAGTGGAGTCGCTTCTGTTCTGCTGGGTGCTGGGTGCTGGGTGATACCTTGCTTCATGCCTGGTGGGAGGCTTCGCTCGCACTAGCCCATCTACGTCCTGCTGGGCATCCAAGGACCTTGCTACTCCGTGCCCCAGAGCCAGTCAGCGTTGGGCCAGAGGGCAGACTGTGCAATGGCGATTCCCCAAACCTCTGTTGGTCTGAATTTGAGCACACTACTCAGAATGGGAAGAAACCTATCATTTCAGACAGGAGAAAACTGAGATCTGCGGAGCGGAAGTGACTCGTAGGAAGTCCAAGAGCAGATAGAGAGGTAATAACTCCCCTGAATTTTCTGAATACATTTTCTTCCATCAATCTTGAAAACTCCTGAGAATAATTATTTAGGTTTCTATGAGAGAGGGGCAAACCTTAAAAGAAACTAATTATAAATGATAGTAAGAATAAGAAAGTAGAGAAGTTAGAGTAAAAAGTGAGAATAATCCAATGGAGAGGATAATTTTTTAAGTTCTTTTGTAAACCAGTAGCTACAGTCGGTTTGGTTCAAGGCTGTCAAGGAGCAATTAACACATGATAGCTCCAGTTAGACCCTTTTTTCCTAAGAGGCCACCTTTCACCTTTTCACACACTGTTTCATTTATTTCCTCAGAAACATCAAATATACTCTATAGATAAAAGAATAACAGAAACTACTTTTACCTACAAGATAAATGTTTCAGCAGTGACTTACTGCAATAATTATTTCACTATGTTTCTTAATCTTATAGCAAATAGTTGGGGTTCCTTCTCTTTGTCTTTATGGAATTTTATCTTTGAACTATATATAAAATAAGATTTGGATTAGAGGACATTCGCAGTATCTATTTTCAATCTGCATTACTCTATCTAGTCTTAATGTCCATGATGCAGTGATTGGAAAACTGGTGGTAAAAAAAATTAATGCAATTGAGTCATATTCTCCATTACCTTCCATTATAAAATCAAATACTAATTTGAACAGAAAAAAAATGTTTTATTTCAGGGATAATAATCACACTTTAATATATTAACAAACATGATATATTTAAATTAGAACACTTCTGCATTAAGAATCATACTCAAGCTATGATAAAAGTTACTAGCATACAAAATTTTAAAGTGCCAATTTTAACTTTAATATTTGATGTTTACTTCTCTGGGCACAAGATCAGTGAAGAGGCTGCATTGCATTGCTTTATACTCTAAGACTCCCTCTAGCTCAGGGAAAAAACTAGTAAAAACAAAAACATGTTTTACTAAATACTTTAATACCTAATTATATTTAGTGAAGTTATTCTGTAATTAAAAAACACTTAAATGCACATTATTCATGAGGACATTACAAATTTGTTAAATTGAGATATTCATTAAAACAGACTTATGTAGAAGTCTCTAGCCACATTTTTTAACAAACACGCTGCACCCTTATTTCTATTTTTGAAAATCTACACAAATGTTTTTTTTTTTTAATGCAATCTTTGTGGTTTTGGAGTTACATACAATGATAGTTTATTTCCCATAGGTCTCTGGAAGTCACTCAATAACTAAGAAGAAAGGAAAATAGGCCCTGGGTTATTAATATATTGGTCAAAATACTTTATCAAAATTTGATACATTTATAAAACTCATTAAAATATTTTCTTCTCCTTTACACAGAGTTGTAAATATCTTGACTATCTTATTTCTAAATCCATAATAGGTTCAAATCTAATCTAAATTACAGAGGAGGCACAAAATTTATTTATTGTGTTATATATTACACTTAAGTACAGTTGAGGCAGAAGAGAATAAACAGTTTTAATCTTTGCCAAGGGCACAACTTCAGTATTATTTTCATTTATACAGTGCACCCTTGCCAATATGGTCTGCTCTGAACCCGTGCTTTGTATGAGAAGAATTGGGAACACCACAGTTCAGGTCTACATATACAGGGTATATTTTTAAGACCTCTGTGTTCGCTACGTGGTACCTCCTTTTCCTTTTCTTTGAAACCCCACAATTTAAGGAGTTTTATCTTCCATTTTCTCCAGCCCTCGACTGCCCAGATCCCTGGACTGTGACCCACAAGCCTCTTCATCACTTAGATACGAAGCTCGCTTCAGTCCAAGCGTCTCTGGGCTCACAGAGGCTGCAGTGCCATGGACACAGCACAGACACTACCCTGGAGAGGGAGCAGGTGGGTGAGGTTCCAGCCGTCATCCGTCCAGTGATAACTGGGAGTCCTTCCGGTTTCTGGAATAGGTCCATGAAAGGCGGTGAAGTGACTAGTGGGATTTTTGCAGGGAGGCAGCTGGTTTATCTTTTCTTCATGAATTGAGCACTATAATGACAAGTGAACGTTCAACAGGGTGGATTTCCTGAAGAAGAGTCATCTTTATTTCAGAAAGGATATTTGTTGCTCTTTTCAAAACCATACTCATGTTTTGTATTAATATAAAAAATACAGGAATAATGAATTACAGTGGTCAAAATTAAAACTAATGCATTATTTGAAGACTGTAGGCCTTTTAAAGTACAATACGTGAGTAATTTTAGTAAGAATTCTTTTTCTACTCTAAAAAAACAAAATGGGGGATTTCTCATTTTTTTTCTAAATCAACAATGTTGAGTAGCTGGGAGTATACAGGAATAGCTAATAGCATAGATATTTAAAATATACTACAGTTTCAAAACAGTAAAAATGCATAAAATAATACTACTCAATGGTACACTTAAAATTAAAATTCACACTTCACTATTTCCCTGGATGTTCTCGTGTTCACTTTTACCCTATCTTGAGCATATTTTAGTATGAAATATACATTCTGCAGATGAAGTAGAAATTTTTGACTTTCAAAGTATTTAGAATTACTTCACTGCTTCATCGGTACTGTAAGAAATTGCGCAGCAGTGTTGGCAGCTGGAGCTGTGGGATGAGATGCAGTCTGGGTTTTCCTATGTAGTTCCTGATACGGAGTCGGCAGAGTTGGCAAAGAGAGCTCGGAGTGGCTATAAAAGGCACAGAAGTGTTTGTTAAAATCAACAAGAATTTCTGTATGGTGTAGGGTAAATGAAATGAAACCATAAAGAAGACCACAGTGACTTGCAATAAACTAGGGCAATAAGAACACTAGACTAGGGAAATTTATATAAGCATTTTGATTGCTTTTATGTATAAGATCTTATAGTTGAGACATATTCCATGCTCCATCTTCAGGCTTATGAAATTCTTGTTGCACTTAAAGCTTTGGAAATAAATTCTGCTTTCTCAAGGATATATATATCAAAAGCCCCAAGAAGTGTTATGCACTGAAGGGGGAATTCTTTAATTTTATTTTTTCTCAAGTTAAGTTTACTATTTAAGCCAAAGCAAATTTTATTATCGTATCTGTACCAGGCCTAAGAAATTCTGTTTTAGAACAAGTTTTAAGTGTGAAAATATTTCCTGATGTTTCTATAAGTCGTTGTAGAAGGTGCATGCCCTTATAAAATAGGGCATGTTTCCAAATATTTATTAGCCTATATCAAACAGAATTACATACAATTAACTGTCAAACAATATATTTAACTTAACCAATGGAGCAAAAAGTTTAAAAAACATGAAAATAAGAAAATTAAGATCATCATGGTATCTTCTTTACAGACAGAACCTGTACCTACTTTCATAAAAAATATTCCAAATGTTATGCTGTTATTATTTAAAAAGCGAATAGAAAGTCTTTACATTTCATCTATTTAGACAAATGTACTTTTGTGTTTTTAAATGCCCACATGTCTTATTCTTACCTTCTTGCTGAAGCAGTAGTCTTTCCACCAAACTGCTGGAAGTAGCTACATCTATGGGTCGTAGAAGCTCCATATTTTTGGCATTGATATCTGCTCCAAATTCTAGCAGTAAGCTTATAATTTCCGTACTGGATTGTTGAGCAGCAGCATGTAGTGGTGTGTCCCAATATCTGCCTTTTTGTACATCAGCACCTACATGTAAACAAGAAATGATGATAAATACAAACAAAAATTGTTAGGCAAGTCACTTAGCTCAGGGAGAAAGGTGTGACAAACAAGATCTCAGCTCTATCTGTAGTTAGCTATTTCTTTTTGCATGTGTATATACATACACACACACACACACATATATATATATGCTTCATGTATATAATATATTAAATCTTAAAACTTGGTACATCATGACGGAGAGTACACACATTATATTTGCTAATACTTTCTCTATGGTTGAAAGATCTCATAATAAAAAATATTTTAAATGTTTTAAGTTGTTCCAAAAGTAATCATATTAACTAGAATTATAATCAGTGCATAATTAGGTTCACTCATATCTGTATTCATCTTGAGTGATAGGTCTTGGGATTATTCAAGAGCTTATTGCTCTTATTCTTTTTATTTACTTCAAGGCAAGAGAGCTCTCTTGTTTTTTGGAAAACTCATGAATTTAGACATGTAAGTTATTAAGGTAAAATACGTACAGACGTTTCTGTCATTTCTTACTCATGTACTTTAAGTCAAAATTTTAAAGGCACTGAGCCTCTTAAGTGGATAAGGCACATTATTTTCGTGCATACAAAGTAAATTTTTAAAAATATGCTTACATTAAAAAAAGCTTTGCCTGTTAAATTTCCTATTGCCTAGTCATTTTACCTTCGTGTGTGCCCTGGCACAAGGCGGTCATTCGATGCATGCGCAGTGAGTAAGTGCCGTTTAATATTGGGAAGAAGAACCATCCCATTTCCCAGTGCATAAACGGTCACAACAAGAAGCGTCAATAAAGATGCATTCATCCTTTTCAGCGCTCCTTTCTGACACTGTCAGTGAGACTGCTGATGTTCCTAAGAAGCAGCACATTTTAGGAGTCCCTTGATGGCCTTCCTGCTACTTCCCAGTTTCAACAATATGATCGTTTTCGATATTTGTAAACCAAATATAAAATGTGTAGTGGAAGAATTATATCCCATCACAAAATCTCCGTAGCAAAGCCGTAGGCTCTGTTGGTCTTGTCGGTTTAATGGGGGAGCAGAGCCCGAGAATAACAGTCCGCCATTTCTAATGATACTTTCTCAATACCTTTTTAGCCAGTATGAAATATGAAAGAATAGCATTCCTAGCAAAGTAAAGAAAGGTGATAAAAAGTGAACTCTTCTATTTATATGGATTTAGGGGAGAGCATAGCCAGAAAATGACAATCTGCCAGCGATTATGAGCAGAGCTCACGTTTGAGAGTCTTGAAGACTCACTGGGAATGACGCAGTGGATGCAGACGCTGACAGCAAGAAGTTCATAATTGAGCAAAGACAATGGCAGTGACTCGTAGAGGGGTCACTAAAATATATATGTCAATATATATCAGAGGCCGCATGGTTGTAATAAACAAAAGCATAGAAATCCATTTACTCCTTGTCCATATATTTTAAGCATCTAGCATGTGAGAGGCGCTGTGCTGGAGAAAAGACATGATTGGAGGGAGACAGAATCCATATCCCAGTAGAGCTGCAGTCCTACAGTGGGAGGCCACGATGGTCTCAGAAGACACGGAAGAGTCTCTCAGAGGCTGAAGCTGAACTTTGACAGACTGGTTTGTATCAAGTAAGTGGAAAAAGACCTTAAGTCTTTCAGGGAAGTGGGACAGGACAAGGTCTGGGAAAGTCCTTATAGTTGGTATATACCTCAGGGTAAGGTTGTCTGAGCAGTTACTGTCCCTAAAATTTCTTTTGATGGATATGCTCACAGATAGAGACATAATTGGCAATATTATATGCAGTGTTGAGGATCTTAATTTTATGACCTTTTATAAATAGCGCTTTTGTAGCTTTGAGGTGCAGAAGTGGAATTATCAAGAATGAGGTTCCTTTTCCTTGGTTATATATCTATATGTGACAATGCTTAGTACAAGAACATTTTCAGCAATGAGATAGAATTTTTAAAGCAGCATATTTACAGAAATAAATATGGACCTGAATAATTGCTTGTGTGTGTGTGTGTGTGTGTGTGTGTGTGTGTGTGTGTGTGGACAGAATGGAGGATGTTTTAAAGAAAATTACCGGCATAAAGAAGCTTCTGGATGCAATGGAATTCCTGTGACATACAAGCCACATACAGAGGAGTTCCCAAATGAGGAATGTCTTGGTCAACATCGATGCCCCAGGATATCAGTATTTCTAGGCATTCATGGTGACCTGCCAACACAAAGTCGAGATGAGCTTACTTTCTCTGATGCTCATCGCTCCGCACACTCACCTCGCCTCATGCTTCCCCTGCAGCGTTATTCACTGCAAAGCAAGCAAGAACATGCAAGTCGCTGAAGGGACTTTCTCCCCTTGTCACGTCATACCACAGCTAGGTCACCTTTACTGGCGGCCTCATGAGTGGGGGAAGGGAGGCAGGACTCCAGCTGGGGCTTGGCGCCGTATTCCAAAAGAAGTTCTGTGCAGCTGGTGCTGCCTTGTGAGCAGGCATTAAACAAAGGGGTCACGCCGTCGATCGTGACTGCATTCACCTAGAGCGGGCCGGAAACTAACAGTGAGACTCACAGTCATGTGTGATTGACTGTTAGGCATTTAAACAAGTCATGTGATCTTCTCACAGACCTGCGGAACTGTGTGCAGTAAATATGACAAAGTCTATTTAGCTCCTGCATGTCAATCTGCAAAGCTTTAACACGTCTAGAGATAAATAGGAATGTGAGGTGGTAGATACTCACAAGAGTGGGCATGCAGCTAGTAAAAATCCTGAAAATTATGCTCAAGAATGGAATAAACCAAAGCAAATTCAATGGCTACATACGTACTTTTCAGTTAGAAAAAAACGTCAAGTGTAATGGTGATGGAAGTGATAAAGCCACTTTATTGATGGCAGTTCTAACTGGGAAACTCAGAAATTCTACTTCTGAGAATTTATCTAAAGAAAATCATCCAAAATATGTTCAAATGTTATAGGCATAAAGTTGTTCATCTCTTGCTACTTAGAATCGTGAATGCAGGAAATAACCTAAAGAACACTCACATTATGCAGCAAAATATCCAGTTTTGCAGTGATTGGGGACCCTGCTCATATTGCCCTGAAAAGGCTGAGGCAGTTTGGAAGATTTATTTTCAGTCTGCTATTTTTGAAAAGTACTAAGAAGGAAAGAAAAGCAAAGTGAAAACTTTGTTTGATTCTCTTAACTCATAGACGTGAATTGTCGATGATTTTAGCACATACTCACATTAGCTCCAGCTTGCAGAAGTGTCCTGGCACACGCCACGTGATCTCCAAGGCAGGCTTCGTGCAGCGGGGTGACATGGTCTATGGTTACTGCATTCACATTATAACCCTAAATATGACATACATCATTTTGAAAGGTGTGCAAGAAGTCATATAAAATCTTCTCTGTAAATGTCACTAGAGAGTGACATAAAAGATCAAAGAATCGCAGGCAAATCAGGTTTAAGTTTAGCAGAAAAGTCCAACTCGAATGCCATATCAGATCAATTGTCAGAATTCCTAAGCCCCATTATCAAAACGTCACTGATACCTAAACCCAAGTACTACTTTAGGTGTTTTGTTGAATAGATTCTGAATGTTTTCTTTCCTTTTTTTTTTTGGTCTTTATGAATTTCTTTGGTTGTTACTATTATTTTGTTTTTTAAAACTAAAGACTATTTGTAGGCTGGGTCATTGGTTTTGATTTGGGCTATAAAATTACAGATAAACCCAAACTGGGGGAAAAACACTCTTGTGGTAAGCTGCTGTGTGAGTTTTTGAGTTTTTGTCACTAAATAGGGATGACTAGGGTCCATAGTAGTGGTTAAGAGCTCTGACTATGGAGTCAGCAAGACTTGGGTTTGAATTCTTGTTCCATAATGTAGTCATTGTTTTAATTTGGAAGAGCACATTAGCCTCTAAATTCTAGGGTTATTTTGAGGAGTAAATGAGGTGATACTTTTATTACTCAACCAAAACTAAATAAACACTTAAAATTTTTTTATTTCAATTAAGCTAATGGTATCTGATTACAGTAATTAAATACCATGAGGATATGAGATTTTTTTTTTGCCTTCTTGCTAGTCTCGGTAATTCATTGTCTGCTGACAATCACTCTGAGCACCGTAATAGGGCAATTTTTGTGGCTAAATCCCCATAGCATATTATAGATTACCGTTATCTGTAATACCAGAATCTTAAAATTGTAAGGAATCTTAAGATGAAGGCAAGAACATAATCACCCCAAATTTTTAAGATCCCTTAGATTATCCTTTCACAGGGTCTGAATTGTCTTGCCAGCAGTCAGACTCAGAGAGCTGAGCCTACCAGCCGCACAGGTGACCAGGGGCCTGAGCGTCCGGGAAGGTGGCCAGGCCTTTCCTTTCCCGCAGGGCCTGACTTTCTGGCTGGCCTGTCAGGGGGTATGAGCTACGTATTGAGAAATATCCTCAGACTGCTCTCTTCTCCAGGAACTGCAGAGGTGGAAATTACCGGCCTTCTTGCAGGGTTTTTTTTGTTTTCATCAAGTGATGAGCAAATAGTCACCTCGTTATCACAGAAATGGAGTCCCTCAAGCAGCATCTGTCCTACATGTTCTCTTTACAGATGAGAACACAGAGGGGCAGCCAGGTTAAGTGCCCGCCTGGAATCTAGGTCCCCTGAGTCTTGGGTGTGCTGCTTAAACTGGGCACCACTACCCAGCCTTCCCTCAGAGCCGTGTGGGAAAACTGCTTTGACCTCCACACTGGGAAGCATGGGAGTGGCAACCTCCAGGCCCAGGTGTTCGTTTCAGTCACATCAGAAACATTTGAAAATGTGCAGGCCAAGCTGAGCTGTTTCCACTTCAACAAGGAAGCTTTTCCATTTTCCTTTTGGTGAGTCTGATAGGCAGGCAGGTGTAGAAAGGCTGCTGTGTGGCTCTCCTAGTAATTCCTCATAATATACTCAGATAACACCGGGGAGAAGGCGTTGCTTGTCAGCTGCTCTGATTACCCTTGCTTGGCTATTGTATGACTGAGTAAAGTCTGCAGGTAGGTATACATATTGTACAGAGTCATATTTAAAATTAGCGAATATTACATACATACAATTACTTCATCAATGTGTCTCTCAGTGAACAAATATGCTATATGAGAAATTTGAAATACAGTAATAACAACACACCAAAACACTTAGAAGTTTCAAAGGTAGACGAGAAACTAGGAACTGGACTGACATATGAGTGAAAATAAAGACTAGTAAAATTGATTAAGCAGTTTCATTATTTTTGAGTTGATTACTTTGGACAGTCAATGTGCTCTGCTCATGGGACAGGGGCATATTTTAAGGTATATGTAACATTTTACCTGTGATAATAATGTTCTCAGAGCAAGAAGACGCCCTTGACTTGCGGCTTCATGTAGTGGCGAGCGATCTGCCCAGGAACCTGTCAGAAGAGGAAGAAATAAAAACCTGTGAGTTGAAGTAAGCCCTGATAGGTACAGTCAGTCCCCGTCACAGACACACTTTCCTGGCTCGCAGTTCAGCAAGGTGACCAAGATACTTACACATAAACCAGGAACTCCGATTCTTGTCTCAAGGATCCAGACCGGCAGTGTCCGAGTCCGGAGGGCCCGAACGTGACCCATCCCGGACCTACTCTGCCTTCTGAATCATCCTCCAAAGAAGAGGATGAGTAAGGTGATTGGATCTGCCACACACACAACTCTTTTTCATGGTTTTTCAGACAGAACCCAGAAGAACTATTTTTGTGCACTTTGATCAGGGGCAGCAGCTGGAACCCTGCACTCCCCCCACCCCGCAGTTCCCCCTGCCCTCTGTGCCCCCAGCCGCCCTGCCCTTACGGTGGCCCTGAGGTGTAAGAGGGCTGCAACACATTGCCAAGGAGGGTGAGTAGCTGGTCCCCAGATCCTGAAACTTGGAACAAGCCGAGTGGTCCCTAGAAAGGGGGTGTCACAGGGTGGTAGGGGCAGGCTGTCAGGTGTGTTGGAAACGGTGCTGACAGTGCCAAGGGCTCACTTGGGTCACTGAGTCTCTATGTCAGTGGGTGGTGGGTGGTGCCACTGAGCCTCCCACCCTGTGACCTGGTGGCAAAAGCACTGACCTGTCGTGCCGCCAGGCCCCCTCTGGTAGCATGCCACCCCGTGAGAAGGTCACGCCCTCCCAGGTGGAAATCCCCTGCCTTCCCCGCCAGCCCCCGAGCTCTCAGCATCCCCTCAAGACATAGCCTGCCTGCCGTCCACCCGGGCGGTTTTATCAGATGCTGGGTGGTGTGCAGTTATTTCTGTAATTTAAACAGTATCAGCATTGTTGGCTGTATTTAATGACATGAGAGATCATGTTGGAGGTTTTTAAATGATTAAATATGCAGATTATGCAAATCAGAAAAACAAGCGTATAAAGGGCATCGTTGGCTGATAAAGCAGTCCTGACCAGAGAAAAAATCTTCCCAGTGTGCTACGGTGAGGTGTGCTGGCATCTGTCCCCTGGTCACCGCTCTCCCCTTTTTTGGATCCACTTTTCTCTTTATTAAGTAAGCCCCGAGAAAGGTGGGCAGTCAGTCCATGGGAGGAGCAAGTCGTGGTCCGTGCCCGCCGTGGACAACGCGTTTGTTCACCTGGCTTCTGCTTCCCGGACGCCCAAGCAGCCCCACCCCGTTCGCTTCCCTGCACTTCCTTCGAATGTCGGGAGTTCGTCTGGTGACGTGAGAAGCAAGGGACGCTGTCATGTTCCTGTGTCCGTTTTAAACTAAATCTTCACCCTTATTTCTCCCTTTCAAAATCTGAAGTTCGGCAACTGAAAATTCCCATTCAGATATATTTGATGTTAAATATCTTACCTTTCAATAAGGATATGCTTTATATTAGATTTATAAGCTCTCTCAAGACCAAACAAATTATAAATATCTCCATATGCACCACTTCATTTACTTTATACTCTTATTAAACTTGAATGGGTTATCTAAGATATTTTAAAATGTTCAATTGAACTCTTTAGGAGAAATTATTCAATGTGAAAATTATTTTACAAAGTATCTGTAACTTTCACCATGCTCATCAAATGCTAAGGCCTCCCTGACAGGAGGTGACTCTTGACTATATTTAGAAACAAGACTAGTTCTCGGACATCTGGTACATACTTTACAGGGAGAGAGCCCGCCCTGTTCCGTAAACATCCTGCTGCTAGAGCAAAAAACATTCCCGTTCGTAGATAAATACAGTTTGGTAAGGGTAAACACCATACCTAAATCACCGTCTCCCCACGGCACTTCAAGCCAGCCACTGTTGAGGTAAATCCAACTCATATCTTTTTTTATCAACATAAAAAAATATAGCTTGTCATCTGCTTGTTCTTTTCGGCCATTTTCAGGAGCTCTAAGCACCTTGTAACATGAGCTTTCACCTCCAAAAAGGAAAGCAGCTTTTGAGAATCTGATTTATTTTCAAAATTGCCGTTTCTTAGTGATCACTCCTCTTTGAGAAACTGCTGATCCTAAGTTATTTTTCTCCTTACATTATGTTCCCTGCCATGAAATAGAAGTATGACAATTAGATTTCTGTGCCCATGGCTTTGAGGGAACCCTTTTGCATTTTCAGGAAGTCTACTCCTTCAGCCCTGTGGCAGCAGGGGGGCAGTTCACTGCGGGGCGGACAGTGGGCTGCAGATGGCTCCCCGGGGCCGGGTCCCCCCGCTTCTCCTCAGAGGCCGCAAACAGGAGAGGCAGGGCACCTAAGCGAGGAACCGGAAGGAGAGCCGAGACACAATGACATCTTCATAGATGAGTCAGAATGCAAAACGCTAACGCATTTCATAGAGCCCTTAGCTGTACAATATTGAATCAACAATCTCCGTGATGGAGGTGTATTTAACTACCAAGACAAAGAAACAGGTTCAGGTCCTGTGACTTGGATGGACGCTTTCTAAGACTGTATGTAATTTCATGTTATTTTTCTTCAAGAAGATCCCAACATGTGAATCTTCTGACTTAACAACTGGCCCATCCCTATTCACATGTTTACAAACTTAAAAGTCTCTGTATTGTGTACTTTTCTGTTTTCATAAACTCTTGGGGACATGGTTGGTAAGGAGGGGAAGTACCTTGCTCTCTCTCAAAGCTGGAGACTTTCGTTCTAAGTCTCACGCCGGGTTTCCTTGGAATAATGCTGGTCCAGATCTGAAGCCACCAGTTAGCCTTGGCTTGGGGCCATCAGGTATGTACACGCAGTTCACTCTGGGTGATTTCTGGTTCAAGACCTAGGAACCCTCCATTATCGCCTAAAAAGATAGTGTATGGGCCCAAACCAAAAAAAAAAGCCTCTCTCTAGACTCCCTCTTTGGTGATCTCTACCAGTCCCATCAATATCAGTATTATTCACATGTTGAAAGCACAGGTCTTTCACCTCCTTGCTTAAATTTATTCCTAGGTGTTTTGTGCTTTTTGGTACAATTGTAAATGGGATTGTTTTCTTAGTTTCTCTTTCTGCCAGCTCATTTTCAGTGTGTAGAAAAGCAACAGATTTCTGTGTATTGATGTTGTCTGCTGCACCTTTGCTGAAGTCATTCATCAGCTGCAGCAGTTGCTTGGTGGAGTCTCAGGGTTCTCTGTATAGTACCATGTTCCCTGCACACAGCGACAGTTTTGATTCCTCTACAGTTTGGAAGTCCGGCTCAGAAACACTGTAGCTCTCTGCTGCCTGGAGTCTTGCATTCTGTCCTGGAATTAAGGGTTACCTGCCCTGTGCATTGAATCTTCTGTTTCATTCCCCACTTGCCTTCACAAACCCCTGCTTAAGCTCGGCTGACGGTTGGATGTGTTCCCACACCACCTTCCTTCTGTTTTTCACATCCTTTTCTCCTCCTCAGTTTTCTTCCTCATGTTGCAGAGCAGCTTCCTGATACGTGTCTGTGTCTTGGTTCCAGTTTGTCCTGCTTGCTTTACAGGGGCTTATGAAGTCCGAGCAGCAGAAGTGGCTTGAAGGTAGCTTCTCCTAGGGGGAGAGTAGGTGCCCTCCAGGAGAGGGTACATTGGCTGGGTGAGGAGGGGAGAGGAGAAAGAACAAAGGCTGGAGGGGGGTGTGGGAGAGGGGCACCCAGGGGCAGAGGCAGAGGGCACTTGTGAAAGTGGTTCATTAAACAGGACAACAAATAAATTATAAGACACACAAAACATCATGGTGCTGTTTTCCAAATATAACCATTACATTTTGTAGTTATATGCTTCCCAACTTTTTTCTAAATACATATTTTTTAATCACAATGCAACCACACTATTCATATTGCTTTAACCTTTTGCTTTCATTTATTGATATCATATGTCCCAGTATAATTCTACAGCATGTTAAATGACTATAATATATATATTATTATATAGGTATTAGTTAATCTCCTGTTAAATGATGTTGAGATGGCTTTTAGTTCTGGGGAATCAATCATTTCTTATCTTTGTGAACTTGTTTATCTGCTTAGGGTAAGTTCTTAAATTGTTGATAAATGTCATCAAATTACTTCCAGCACGACTGGGCCTGTTTACATTCTCATTAACAATGCTGGAAAATACTGAAGCTAAATTTAGTGAAAGTTCACTAAGACTTTATTTGTGAACTATATGTTGGGGTGGGGGTAAGAATCAGGTTGCTTTTTCAGTCTTTTAAAGAAATGATAATATTTTATCTTATTTAAAAATATGTTATTAGAATTTATAACAATTTAGAAATAATATTCTTCAGACTCCAACTCTTACAAAGTAAGATGGGTTTGGGGGGGTTAGGAGGTTATTTTTATCTCTGAATCTGCATTTCCAACATTTAAATCTCTCATCAACTACAGTAATGCTCTGCTAAAATTAACGCTTAGATTATTCTCTTTGAAAATGATTTCCTTATATAACTCCTCTGTGGAGCTTTGGAGAATAATCCTCTATGCCTTTCATATTTTTCTATTATTATAATTAATAATTTTGTATCAGAACATTTTAAGGAAGTTTTTGTTCATTTTCTTGCCTATATCACACTCCTACTTTCTGTTCCAATTTAAATGATTCAGAATTTCCACATCTAATTGCTGTAAAGAGAGTTTTCCTGCTTAATAGCATCTTTCCTTGCTTCCATACCAACTTAGAAGCCCCTGCTGAAATGGAAAGGTCAACAACCACGAGACTAAGTTTACTGTTGTGTTTAATATAGTCATAAAAAAGTCCACAGATTCATTTCTCCATAGGCTAAAAAGTGAAAATGCAGTGCAGAACTTTGCCACGCCATACATTGACATTTCAGAATTTGCACTTGGAAAAGCACCCACAGTTCAAAGTTAGTATTTGCAAAAACAGGTCAAGATAGTTTATTTCAGGACACCAACAGACTTGCAATGCTATACTAACCTTGACTGGTCAGAACACTCCAGCTAGCTTTTCGTTTAGAAGAACATTCTTCTCTACTCGCTAGCCGCCGTTTGGTGAGGACCTGCTTAATGCAGTTCCTTTCAAGCGCACTACCTGCGGGCATAGAGTGGCTGGCGTTTCTGTCTGCGACACCAGGTGTCCTAAGCACAACTGCTCTAGCCGGAAGAAAGGTAGGCGCCTGGATTTCTAGCTATTTTTCGCGTCCCTTTAGACTTCTCAGAGGCTTTTGTGCGAGCTGGACAACGGCCTCGACATTGAGCCCTATTCAGAAATGTGCGGAGCGAGGCCGGTAGGTGCCGCGCGGGGCACGGGCCAGATGCAGTAGCATTTTCTATTTTTAAAGTGGAGACTCAGCTGCAGCAGGAAGTTTTTAACTGTTTGAGTGATACCGAAAGTGAAAATACACGTGTAACATTGCATTTCCTAATCAGAAACTAAATGGAAGCAAGAACCATCTTTAAAGTTCGAAAGCCTATTTGAATTATCTACACATCAACCCCATGAAAAGTTGCCCCTTAACAACAGCTAGAGAGGATGTCGTAGCCAAAAAGCTCCCCAGTGATCAGTGACTAGGTAGCCTCCCCGGTTCATCTTCGGGAATAAATAGTGTCTGTGCATTAGGGTCAGCTGGTAGCTAGCTCATGTTCTTATCTGGTAAGGGTCTAAGTTTAGAATTGGCTTCTGTGCACAGTCACAATCCTCTTATTTATATAGGTGCAGCTCACAATGACGATTTTTCTGGAGATCATTTCCAGACCACAGGCGTCAGCAGTCAATTTAAGTACAGCTGAGATTTCTCACCCTAAAAGGCAGAGGAAAGAGTAGCTGGAGAGAGGAAAAACCAGACATGTGCCTGGTATTTTTTGCTGGCACACAGAGCTGAGGAGGGTACACCCCCCATGACTGGTGGAGAGCTGTCACTGGGCCCTGACAGGACTCCAGGATTAACTGAGCCCGGGATCACGTTACGTGTGTAAACATACTGAGATCTGTCTGGATGAAAAACAGTCACAGATTCTATCATCTGCCCTTATCTTTTGATCATTGTTGTTCAGGCTCTACCCACTGTTGGTATACACAGGAAAAAATCACTGGGGTATTTATTGCCTTCATATAATAAGCTGGTAAAAGAAAAAACATTTCCTGAGTAAAATTATTTCCCAGGCTCTACCTTACTCATGTTTGCCACCATATTACATTGCTGTTATTTACCTCAAAGTTGTCACTAATGAATACCAAGAATGTCTTGAAGTTACTTCTAATCCTACAAACTGTGAGGTTTCTATGACTGGCACACAAAGGGCAGGGTGGTGTGTGAGCTTTGGACATGCTCTTATCCCACCAAGGAGGCCAGACATTCCTAATAAAGCTACGAGGCTGTTTGTATGGGGGGCTCATTCCCAGGAGGTTAGAAAGGGTGGAAGGGTAGATGCTGAAGGGGCTTATTCAGTCCATATGTTTACATGTGCTAGTTGGCATTAACCACTGGCTCTTTGTCCCCAGCAGGTACTCGTAAGGGGAGAGTGACGGTCTACACAAGCCACACAAGAAAAGTAAATATTAATATTTGTTTTTAAAAGAAATAATTGTAAGCTTTTGACTTTTTGGCTTGGCACCTTTGTTACTGTAAAATAAATATAGGATGTTTTATTGTAAGAATTGGGGCAATTTTTGTCCTTAAAACAGTTTTGGACACCTGGTATTATAACCTAGTTCTGTGTCTGTTTGTTTATTTTGATTGTCTGTCTCCACTAGGCTGTGTACTCGAAGTATATACATATGTTATTTCACAGGTCTACTACTATACCTCTTAAATAGTGGGCATTCCAAAAAAGTGTCATTTTAAATAATTTGAATATGGAACAAGAATACTTTGAAAGGGCTTTCTGTAATTCATAGGGAGTAGTAAATTTTTAGTGCAGTGGGGGAAAAAGCTACCAGATTTGACCATAACTACATACTTAGTCAACTGATGTGTGCTGGCTATATAGTACATATAATAATTTCCATAAATAACTGGGTGGACTAAGGAGATAATAATTATGTCTTTCAAAAATTTTAAATGAATCAAAAGCAAAATAATTTTTTAAAAAGACTGTGGAATTGAAGGAAAATGACAATACAGTTAATTTATTAGAAAAAATAAGGAACAAATGTTTGAATTAATTGAGTATGCTTGACTATATGTGAAATGAATGTATTTGGGGCAATCATTTCAATGCTGGATATCTGTGATTGTATACATACAAGTGTACCTTGAAACATATTTATAGATACATAGAAGAATATAGAGGTATATATATTCTAGATATTTAGATAAAAATGTAGCATCTTCCCTAGTGTAAATACAAAAGTAGATTGGATAACCTGCAGGATATCATTGGGCCCTGTAAGTAGGCAGAAGTCTTAAAGCAAACAAGTTTTAAAGTATTAAATAAAATACTAAGGAAATAAATTATATTCCATAGAAAATAATGGGCTCTGACCTATTATGTCTCGGAAAAAGCATCTGACATTTACTATAGATTGGGGATGGCGGATGGTGACTATCCACAAAGACTAAAATGAAATTTTAGACCTTTTAGGAATGATATGGAAAAGGAAATGGCGATTCTATTCCCAGGAGCCGTTCTCTTCTCACTCTAAGCTAACATGTCTGAAAACCTGGGGACCAATATTTGGTCTGGTTACCAGTACTCAGTGAGAAAGTGACGCCGAAGCTGGAAAAGTTTCCGAGGATGCTGGAAATCCTCAAAGAGATGGAGACACTTCTGTAGGAAAGAATATTCATACTTGTGGACATCAAAATGGAAAGCTGAAATCTAAGAGGGATTATGATAGAAATCTACATCAACATAAAGGCATCGTTAGGAGTAAATAAACTTTTCCAAGAAATTCTGTAAAACTAGAAAGTTGGATCCTATTCTGACATTTTTAAAAACTAAATTTGGAACACAAATGGATATTCAGTTCCTAGTTTACACAACCAGTCACAAACATCAGCCCCTCATTGCTTCTAAAAGGTGGTATCTAGCTGAACTAATGAATGAGTAATCCATAGGTAAAGATTTTTTAGGGTATGTTCCTAAGTTTGGGGACTTTGATCATGGAGATTCTCCACTAACAGAAAAAGATCAAAATGAATAGACTCCTGCTTGGATCAGGGTTGGTTCTTTCTCCCACTCATGACTGTGGAGTAATTCAAACATATACACTATCCATCGCCAGTTCAACAGTTACCAACTCAGAGCTAGTCTTACTTCATCTGTAACCCACCTACTTGTCTCCCCAGCCCCACTCCTAGGATTATTTTGAAGCAAATCTCATTATATCCTTTCATGATAAATATTTCAGTATGTATCTCTAAAAAATGAGAACTCTCTGTAATCATAATTACAGTATCATAGTCACACACAAAAAACAGTAAATCCAATTTATCATCAAATACAGGTTGGCAATTTTTATTTTCTAAAAAGTAGCTCAGGTCATAAACTGACTTCTATAATGAGACCTAAATTGATGTAACCTTTAAATTCTTTATCTTGGGGCAAAAGTCTGTGATCTTTCCAACTTCTAAATGTCTTTTTTTAAATGTAAGATTCCCATCCTTAAAAAAAAATGTTTCTTTTCTCTAAATTACCAATGGCTCACTAACCACAAGATAAAATCCTAAATGGTCCCAAAGATTCGTGAGATTCTCTTTTACCTGTTAGTGCCAAATTTCTACCCTTGCAAAGTCGCATCTGGAACGGGCCATTCTTCAGTTCTTGGAGACTGCCCTGCTGGGGGTTTCTTTACAAGGCCACACACACACACATGTAACTCCTAAGTGTCATCTCGGAGCCCTGTTCCTGCTCCATTTTACTTTGCATTCGATTTTATTTAAACATGAGGACCTAAGTCTATTGGCCTACTGATGGGGAATGAGGGCAGATGAGGTGTGAGGGCAAGCCTGGCATAAGCATCTTGGGAAAAATGGAGTGATTGTTATGTAGCAGTTAACCCTTGTTTCAAGGGCCATTCACTTCTTTTATAAAGGTTGCTGGGAAACCCAGAGTGACATCTTGTGGTCCATGACAGCTCCTCTCAGTTGGAATTGGGTAGTTAGGAAAGGCCACAGGGGTCTGAAAAATCACAATTAGAGAAAATATGGTTGGGATCATTACAAAAACCACATGTATAACAGCAGTGCCTAAACATAGTGAAGGGTATTTTCTTAGCTGTGTGTGTAAGGCTTTGGAGATAAGTGTATGTTTTCAGGATGACCAACTTTTTTTGGTATGATTTTAAAAAGCGATAAGCATAATACAAAATCCAGTTAAATCCAGTTTGAAATAATAATAATATATGCTTGCACAAAACATATTTTTATTGTAGATCTTGAAACAAAATGGTAAGGGGCTTCTGTTGAGGAAAATGTGCCTGTCTCCAGTGTCCAGGAAATTTGACAGTGAAGAGTAATTCTCAACTAGCTATTATATAAAGGCGATTTCTACCCTATTCTAATACTCGTTCATAAAGAGAGCTAAAACCTTCTCAAAAAGTTTAAAGCACATTGCATAACACCATAAAATAGAAGATGTCCCTGAATTAGGAATATTTAAACTACCCGAAATGATGTACATGATTTTTTAAGACAAAAATAATCCCTATGTGTAGAAAGAAAATAATAAAAAGGATTTTAATTTAAAATGCCTAAGTGCTTAAATCATGAGAGACTAGCATAAACTCTGGCTACTTAAGGTAAATAATTTCTAGTTGGGGGTAATGAATTGAACAAGGTGGTGAAACATCATTCATTCACCCATTCACCCAATATTTATTAGGGGCCTGCCAGGTGTTATGTCCTGGGGACCCAAATATGATAACACAGTCACTGCTCACTTGCACCTTAAGCTCTAGAGAGGAATTTTAGAATCGCATGAAACTCAATCACTGTCTAAGCAGCCTTTATATGCCAGGGAATCAAAGGCTCTTAGAGTCACGACAAACTCTGAAATTCCCATAGCTAGGTTGCACTGATGCCCCTCAACTGCTAGAAATGTCCATATATGTGATTTACATTTCATTTACACTGATGTTTAATAAACTGTAAGCAGTAAACAGTGACTCTTAAAGAGGATATGATGTTATCACAGACAGTACATTTCAATTAACTAAGATTTTTATGAAGCCAAAAGATTTTTGTGGAAAAGTAAGGCAAAACCCATCTTTGCTATTGCTGTTATTCTTAACATGGTATCTTTGAGAGCATTTGGCTAGCGTGTTAACTCTGAAACTAATGGAAGGATATCAAAGTGAAGGATGCCCTTGGGAAAGAGAAGAATAAGCAAGGAAAATCTAGCCAAAGAGATTGGTTCTGTTTTTGAAAACAGATCTCAGTATTTCTCCAGATTTCTGCTGAACACATATTTAGGAGAAAATATACACTGCATTAAAAAAATCCTAATTTTGTTTTTTAATACATAAAACACATTGAAATAAAAGATTTTAAACTTTTGTTGATGTGACGTTTTTATCAATTTCACTTGCATCAGCAATTGATCTACATTTGATTTTTAAAATATCAGTATTACCACTTTGTAATAGAGCAGCGCATTCTAATTCAGTGGACTGGTTAGAAGCCTCAGCATAGTGATCAAACTGCCAAAGCTGGTCTGTATCCCAGATCAGTTAATTACTAAATTCGCTACCTGGGCAAAGTTACTTAATTTCTTTGAGCCTCAGTTTTCTTATCTGGAAAATGGGATAGTAATCGTACCTCATAGGATTTCTATCAGAATTTAGAAATACAGAAATCAGAACAATGCCTGGTACCCCAGTTAGCTTTGGATTAATGTTAGTTTTTATGGCATTATTCTTAACTAGTGCATAATGTAGATGTAAGTGCACCATTCATGCTTTCTTCATCTTGTCTGTCTAGCAGTAAAGTTAAAATTCAAGTTAAAACACAGCTCTCAAATACTTCGGTTGCTGGTGAACCCCACAGATATTCATGGTTCACTAGTCGTTTAGTGACTGGTGTATGTAAAACAGTTCTTGGTGTACTGGATGAAATTCTGCTACTTTGTAAGCAAAACAACACAAATCAGAACAAAAACAGCCCGTGAAGGTGAAGCCACAAAAAACACAGACGAGAGAGATTCAAGATGGCAGCGTTAGAGGTGAGACAGAGATTTCCTCTCAAAACCACATACAGTGTGAAAATATAGTTAATACAACTAGCCCTAAAAGCACAACAGGAAAGAAGGCTGTACCAGACTGCACACAGACCTCACGAGCAGAGCAGGCCTCACGAAGCAGGGTAACATACGAAAGCCTTGATCTGGGGGGACCCAAGCCCTTCCCTCACCTCAGCTCACCGGTGGGAAGAATAGAAATGGAGTGGGGGAGGGGGTGGAAACCTAAGACTGCTGAAGACCCAGCCCTGGAGGTCAGCTTTGGAGCACAAACCTACATGGTGTGGTGCTCTGGAGGTTGATGGGGTTGGGGAGCTCGGACAGGTGGAGTGCTTGAGAGACTGAGATTCCGGGCATTTGTGGAGGATGGGGATCCACATCTGGCCGCTCTGGGATAAAGGAAAGACGGGCAGTCTGAGAGGCTCCCTGGGAGTGAGAGGGCTGCTGAAGGGGAGGGGTGTGCACAGAGCTTGCTGCATGGGAGAAGGAACAGGTGGACAACGTTGTCTGGGCGCACTCTGCCCAGCAAGTTGGGAACTTTGAGGAGATTCAGGCGCTCCATCCTCCTGGCTGGCTACTCAGCTCCGAGGCCCCTCTCTGTGACACACAGCCTGCTGCGCCTTCCTCCTGGCCTGCTGGCACCTGCTCGCAAACCGGCGGTCACTACACTGGTGTCAGGCCAGCCAGGGGGAAGCCACCCCTACAACAGCTAGACACCAAGCACAGAGGCTTACACCTGTGTGCTCGGCCCACTGGCCCTGACACTGGAGACGGGCACTGCAGCCGGGAACCAGGAAACAGCTCTTTCCTCCCCCCAGGCACCAGTGCCGCTCCCCTACGCCCCCCAGCTTCACTCTAGGGCAGCTACAGAGACTAGAGCTTCTGGAAACTAGAGGGCACCACATAGAATTACGAAACATCAAAGGAACCTGGTTCAGACCAAAATCTCACAAACTCCTTACCAAATGAAACTGAACTCAAAAATCTTCCTGAAAGAGGGTTTAAAATAAAAATCATAAACATGCTCATGGAGATACAGAAAAATATTCAAGAACTCAGGGACAAATTCAAGATGGAGATTCAATCATTAAGAAATTCCATATCTGAAATGAAATGTACAATGGAGGGATTTAAAAGCAGATTCGATGTAGTAGAAGAGACGGTACATGGAATAGAAATTAGAGAAGAGGAATACAAAGAAGCTGAGGCACAGAGAGAAAAAAGGATCTCTAAGAATGAAAGAATATTGAGAGAACTGTGTGACCAATCCAAATGGAACAATATTCGCATTATAGGGATACCAGAAGAAGAAGAGAGAAAAAGGGATAGAAAGTGTTATGAGGAGGTAATTGCTGAAAACTTACCCAATCTGGGGAAGGAGATAGTCTCTCAAGCCATGGAGGTACACAGATCTCCCAACACAAGAGACCCAAGGAAGACACCATCAAGACATATAATAATTAAAATGGCAAAGATCAAGGATAAAGACAGACTTTTAAAAGCAACTAGAGAGAAAAAAAAGATCACATACAAAGGAAAACCCATCAGGCTATCATCAGATTTCCCAAAAGAAACCTTACAGGCCAGAAGGGACTGGCATGATGTATTTAATGCAATGAAGCAGAAGGGCCTGGAACCAAGATTACTCTACCAGGCAAGGTTATCATTTAAATTTGAAGAAGGGATTAAACAATTTTCAGATAAGCAAAAGCTGAGAGAATTTACCTCCCACCAACCACCTCTGCAGTGCATTTTGGAGGGACTGCTATAGGGGGAATTCCTAAGGCTAAATAGATGTCACCCAACGTATAGACAAAGAGTACAGAATATGATACCTAACATATAAAGAATGGAGGAGGAGGAAACAAACCTTTAGGTTGTGTTTGTAATAGCACATGAAGTGAGTTAAATTAGACTGTTAGATAGTGAGGGAATTACCCTTGAACCTTTGGTAACCATGAATCTAAAGCCTGCAATGGCAATAAATACATACCTATCGATAATCACCCTAAATGTAAATGATCTGAATGCACCAATCAAAACACATAGAGTCACTGAATGGATAAAAAACAAGGCCCATCTATATGCTGCCTACGAGAGACTCACTTCAAACCCAAAGACATACACAGACTGAAAGTAAAGCGATGGAAAAAGATATTTCATACAACTAATAGGGAGAAAAAAGCAGGAGTTGCAGCACTTTTATTAGACAAAATAGACTTCAAACCAAAGAAAGTAACAAGAGATAAAGAAGGACATTACATAATGATAAAGGGGTCAATCCAACAAGAGGATATAACTATATCCCGACACAGGAGCTCCTACATATGTGAAACAAATACTCACAGAATTAAAGGGGGAAATAGAATGCATATGTATTCATTTTAGGAGACTTCAACACACTAGTCACTCCAAAGGACAGATCAACCAGACAGAAAATGAGTGAAGAGACAGAGGCCCTGAACAACATATTAGAACAGATGGACCTAACGGACATCTACAGAACTCTACATCCAAAAGCAACAGGATACACATTCTTCTCAAGTGCACATGGAACATTTTCAAGAGTAGATCATATACTAGGCCACAAAAAGAGCCTCGGTAAATTCAACAGCTTCTCAGATCACAAAGGTATATGAAACTAGAAATAAATTACGCAAAGAAAACGAAAAAGCCCACAAGCACATGGAGGCTTAGTAACATTCTCCTAAATAATCAATGGACAAATGACCAAATAAAAACAGAGATCAAGCGATATATGGAGACAAATGACAACAATAATTCAACACTGCGAAATCTGTGGGACACAGCGAAGGCTATGCTAAGAGGGAAGTATATTGCAATACAGGCCTACCTCAAGAAAGAAGAACAATCCTATGTGAACAGTCTAAACTCACAACTAATGAAACTAGAAAAGGAAGAACAAATGAGGCCCAAAGTCAGTAGAAGGAGGGATATAATAAAGATTAGAGCAGAAATAAATAAAATAGAGAAGAATAAAACAATAGAAAGAATCAATGAAAGCAGGAGCTGGTTCTTTGAGAAAATACACAAAATAGATAAACCGCTAACTAGACTTATCAAGAAAAAAAGAGAGTCTAGAGACACAAACAGAAGCAGAAATGAGAAAAGAAATATCGCTGTGGCCACCACAGAGATACAAAGATTTAAATGATTATAAAAGTCTTAATCTTTGAATCCAAATAACTTTCATAAATAAAAATTCTTGTAAAAATATTACCATGACTTCTAATGGACCGTAAATATTGAACTTAAACATATCCCCATTTCTTCCACATTCATGGAATGCCACCCCAATTACATATGCAGTATTGTTTTTAAACTTAAATACTCTGTAGAAGGTCATCTCTCCCACCCAAATCACTGTTGTTTGGTTGATTTCTCCAAGCAACCATAACAGTTAGCTCCCATACTAGACTTTACTAGATGAGCAGTTTTATCCACACTACAGGGAGCGGAGAGAGAGAAATGCTCACATTTTCATTTATCCCCCTTTCTTTTTGTTCTTGGAGTGTCGCTGTGAAGTATTCATTCCTTCGCAGACTCTACAGACCTGTGATGTTATGTATCTGGACTCCGAAGGGACTAGCACATTCTCTTCCTCACTCCGTGTTCTAGATCACGGCTTAACAGGAAAATAAGACAAAAGCTTCCAGATTCTGAAATTCATTCGGTGCATCATTTCCTTCTAAAAGTTACTGCTTTCACTTGATGGATGATAGGAAGCATCATTTCCCCAGGGAATGAGGAAATTTGGAAAACAGAAGTAGCTCATAAATCTCAGTAGTTAAAGATGTGTTTGGTTTTTACTGAGAAATTCAGCCACTCACAGAGTCATTACTTATGTGCTCATTATTTAACTGCAGCAGTGGCGTGTCAAGACCTCCTTCGAAGAACAGCTTCCTCCAGCACTTTGGCAGCAGCCTCCCCGACCCAACCATCTAATAAGGAACTTATGCTTATTGTTCGCAATATGCATAAAACACAGCTTTATGATGGTGAAGAGCAGATTTTCAATGGATGGGCCTTGACTTCCTTGTATCTTTGTCAGTTTTCATTTAAATCAAGCTGCTCACTTGATGACGGAGATCAGCCAGTGTTTCTATTTAAGAACATGAATGGCATTTCGGTATTAAATTTCAGTTTGTTTGTACTCTGCCCATAGTTTAAGACTATAAGCCTTCTGGAAAGAGCGTATGTATTTCTGAATGTTTCTGTTTTGCTCAGTAGGTAATGGTGACATGGAAATTTTAGCTGCCCTGATGGAGACAGATGCCTTTGCATCATTTCGCATAGTTGTGCTCATTCCTGACAGGCCCAAAATGTTTACTGGTGTTCTGATCCCTAGGAAAGAATGTTGAAAGGATATTCAGTTCTGACTCATTTTGTAGGGTGGTTAGGTTCTGTAAAGATGCATGTACCTTACATAACATTTTTAAAAGATGGGGACAGTTTTCTATATTGTTTTATCCTTTAAAGATAAATTCCTCTTAAAGTCCAACCTCTGAGACTTCAAGTAAGTAGAGCTGTGCTGTTTGGGGAGTGGGGGGACAGGGAAGCTTGCCCCTGCACACCTAGCCTCTCAGTCCCAGAGGGTCTTCCAGAACATTCATCAATCTACATAGATTCTTAAAATCCTGTCCCAGAGTAACCACAGGAGACTTACAAGATTGAGGAAAAAAGGCCATTCTAATGTATGTTCTCCCTCAACCTAAATTTCACAGTGGACTTGTTTAATCATAGGCCACCTGGACATGCTAACAGCACCTCAATATGTGAGACTCTTTAAGCCTCTCCTTCCCTGACTGAATATTCTCCGGACTTTCCTGTCTAAAAAGCCAATTGTTTGCTTTGTAGCACTGCTGAGAGAAGGCTGGAAAGAATGAATGATTTGTTCTTTATGCAGCTGGTAAAGAAGAAATGACAGAAGTTCTCCACAGCCTGTAAGCAAACACTTTCTTTTTTAAAACTATTTGAGGACAGTTTTACAGGAAGAGACATTTCAAATACCCTGCCTGCTTTCAATGACATGGTTTGCTGATCATTAGGGGTAAATTTTCCTCTTTCCTCCCCAGGTTAGAAAATGAGCTTAATATGCTAAAATTGTTGCAGGAATCCATGGAGCTGCCATGGAGCTATTCTGAGGATGTGCACTGCTAATTCAGTCCTGAGGAGGTATTCTGTCTTCTCTTAGATGGAGTTCACAAAATACACATAATGACATATTGACTCATTACACCAAGGAGTTTATAAAATATTATGGTGGTAATTATTTCCATCATTAGTTAATGACTCTTTTTCATAGGCTAAATTCTGTAAAGGCATTAGAAAGCTCTTCATAGAACTGGACTTGGATGCATGATTTGAGAAGATGTGTATTTATTTGCCACACTGGCACCAGCCACCCGACTACATAGCTTTAGCTACTATTGATGCGTAACCCTTTGCCCCAGATGAACCAGGCTTGTCTGGTTTCAAATCCCAACTTTCTCTTCTTTATATTCAGCTCAGTTTCATCTCCACTTGGATGCAGCCAGGTATGTTCTGCCTTTGAAATTTCACCTTAAGTTCCACCTTCTCTAGGCAGTGCCTGATGTTCTCTATGTACTTCGTTAGAGAACATTCATTGCAGAACCTGTTTTCAATGTAGCACCTCATGAATTCCTGCTTGCTTCCTGTTTGCTTGTTTTACACATGCAAGGTGTGGCTCCACTCACCCAAGTTTTTGCTCAAAAAGCAAGTCATATACTATATGTGGTAAATATATAAATATGTGTATATATATATATATGTATTCCCACATGTGTGTATATACATATTTATCCATCTACATACATGTAGCACATAATATTGTGAGGAATAGAGTAGGTGTCCAAATATTATTGAACTGAATTAAATTCAAAATGTCTTAGGTTGTCAGTTACTAAGAAAAAATAGCTTATTTTAATCATGTACCATCTTCTAAAAGACATGGTAAACTGGAAAGCAGAAAGTTGACACCAAGTTTTCCTTCTTCAACTGTCCTTATGATACTGAAATTTGAGAGTTGTCTGTAACAATGTCGCCTGTCATTGTCATTTTTCAAAAAGTTTGGTGGATAAGCAATGTTCTTTCCTAAAAGTAAATCATTTGAACAGTGAAGCCCTGAGCCTTTAGGTAAACATTTAGGCAGGAGATAAAGGAGTTAGAAATAATAATAACAGGTTATAAGGCGAGAAAGTGAAGCAAGTGTGACGCTGGGGCCGGGGGCTTGTGAGCACTGTGAGCAGGGACACCCTCGTGCTTATGGGAGCCGGCGTGCAGCTGTTAGCACAGCTCTTACTTGACTGCACATCCCAGCACAGCTCTTCTTATCCTACCCTGTCTCCGGGCCCCCACAGTACTCTCTTTAACTTTGTAAGATAGCATTTACCACGCTTTTAAATTAGTTCACTGGCTGGCTGTCTCCGCCACTAGACAATACACACCTTCAGGAAAGGGACTTGGTCTGTTTGTGTATTTTATCCTTAATGCCTAGCACAGTGCCTCTGACATAGAAGATACACCAGTAAGCCTTCTAAGTAATAAATGAGCAAATAGTTGATTGCCTAAACAAAGGAAGAGAAGAACACAATGTATGAGAATATTCCTGGGAAAACTGATCCCTCCTAAGTTACCATCAGTGATGCCAAGTTCTCTGATCCCAAAAATGCATGTAGTTCTCCAAATACAGAGGAAGGGGAAAGAACACATTAAAAATATGGTAGTATTTTATAACCTTGGAATTAATTCACAATGCTATAATGGTCTCTTCCCAAAAATGCTCTGGCATTTCTAAAAAATAGGACAGCTTGGGCAAAATTTAAATCTCTTTTGAAAATTTTTCTATAGCATTTTTTATTATAATGTCATGTCTTTGATAGAAGAACAATTCTATTGATTCAGGTTATTCCTCTGCAGAGTTCCACCTAAGTATAGAAAATGTGCCCCCAAACCCTCACATCTTCAAGGTTTTAGAAAAGTATACCTTTATTCCTTTATGCAATGAACATACAATGCCATGAAAGAAGTCATCCTATGGATGTGCCTCTTGAAAGTTTTCACTGCTGAGATTCTGAGAAATGTTCCTAACGTAACTAACCTCATACCCAGTTAACACGGCAGCCCCCAAATCCCATGAAACAAGGTTTACTCCTCAGAAGGCTATAGTGAAGCTTCCATTGCTGGCTATAAAGTTAAATTCCTAAAGATGTTTTTAAACCTGGGATAGATTTTACTTACTGATGGAGAGAAATGACATACAAAGTTGTAGCTGCTTTTCCTATCTGCGGTACACTATTCTCTGAAACGCCAAGGACTTCTGCCATTTGACTTGATGTGGCCCATTTAACTGTAGCCTGTTTCCAAGCATCAAATAAATGAACAAACAATCAAAAACTGCATGCTTAACAGCGTTCTGAAAACCAGATTTATGAAATCACAAGCACAAATATTCTATCAGAGGATTCTACATACTTTCTGCATTCTACCTAAAGTCTCAACTGTGAGAGGAGTGCCTGAGGAGCTTGGGTGTCACGAGATTATTTTTCAAGCAGCCTCACAGATGTTGCCTTGATGAATTTTCCACAGTCTAACATTTGGTCCGTGGCCCTGCAGGCTCAGAAACCTGATCTATCAGCAAAGCTGGAGCAAATTCAATCTCAGACATTGTCTCAGAACTCAAAGAGCACCAAACATTAAAGACGAACTAAAACACTCCCCAGGGCAGCCAGCACATTCTCTTTCTGCGGACAGATCTCGGTGGAGAGCCAAATGGGGGTCAGAGGTCACTTGGTGATGGAGAAGTGGAACAAAGGGACTACATTAAAGAAATGAGGGCAAGACCAGAATTCATGTTCTAGCTCTACCACATCTTGATTTACCCTGGTGATTCACGCAGAGAGAGGCCACTGCCGGACTCACCGAGCAGCCCAGGGGCCCCCTCTCTGGGTGACACTGGCTGGGACTCACCGTGTGGCTAATGAATCCCTCTCTGACTGACATATTTCTTCTTTAGACATGTGAATATCTCAACCTGGAGGACAAGCAGGTACCTTAACTTTACATCTGTTCCTCTGCCCTTGCTATTTAAAGGTATCATTAGATTCATTCTTTTTATTTTTTGCTGCCATTCCTTTCTATCCACACCACCACCACCAAGACACAAGTCTCGGTCCTCATCTCCCCTGGCAGGAGCCTATTTCAACCTCTGTCCCATCGCCCACCTCCAAAGATCACTGCTATATAAATCTAACTTGAATAAGGGTTTTACACATGTCCTTTCCCATTTTCCCACCTTCATGCATATCAGCGACTTCTCACTGACTTCTCCTTTTTTCAACTCAAGTTTGAATTGCTTAGCCTGCCATTTAAATCCCTTCATATCTGTGCCCAGTTTATTATCATTTATCTGCTGTGTGAACCTTCTGCCCCAGTCCCTTAATGCTCTGGGGGGCACTCCTGACTCCGTGCCTCTGTTCATTCCTGGGCTCAGCTCAAGATCTGCCTCCTCCATGAAGATACTCTCTGGAAGCCCAACTCTGAAACTGACCTTTCCATTCTTTAGACTCATTTGGTATGTAGTCAGTTAGAATGAACTACTCAGACATCTTGTCTTTTTTATATCTTGTTTTTCCTTCATGGGTACTCACAAAACAGGTGCTTAGAACTGACCCTGTCCACTTGTATGTAAGACTTCTGAACTTTGAGTCTAAGATAGAACTTGAGAAGTACCACCCTTGACAGAAGAGCTGCCATCTCTTGAAGGGTCCTTGGGATGTTAATAGTTCAAGGCTTCTCTAGGCCATTGGAGTGATTTCAAAGAAAGCAGTGTTTTCCCCAGTGCTCATTTGCTCTGTGTACTCTTTGATATTATAGCTAAAAACACCTTTCAACTCCTGTTAGTTTCACTGTTGGTCTCAAAGTAGAGTGCTGGCTTTAAAAATAGACCAGACCTCTGTTATGTAGAGATTGTCATCAGGACATTTAATAGCATGAATGTTATTGGAGGTAGTTACATAGCAAAATGTAACAAACAGAGGTCCCTTGAACATGATGGTGGAGTTGGTAAAAGTTTTCAATGCAAAAGGTGAAAAGGCAGATTTGTAAGTTTTACTGAGTTGCAAAGAGATGAAGAAGGAAATAATCGTGAGCTATTTTTGCTAGCATTTAGCTCTCAGCATTCTTGTTGTGTAAACATATCTTGGTCTCAAGGCTGAGTGGAAAGTGCTTTAAAAAAACACCCTACATTGTTCTAATACAATGATCTTATTTGCAATAGTATCTAGGAAAACATAGTTTCTTCTCCTTACTACCAAAGTACTTCTCCTCATGGGGAGGACGTCCAGAATGGTGTCAACAGGGACTTCTGTGATTATGAAAGACATGAAAATATGCACATCATCTCATATTTCATGGAATTTGGCAACTCCACATCAGAAATGTCGAGGGAAAATCTGGCTTAAGTCTTGAAAGTAGGAATGAGATACTTAATTCGAAGTGGAATGAAGGTGCTAATCTTTCCTAGGAAGGAGGAAATTGCTAGATTAAACAAAGATAATTAAGTCCAATTAGTTAATTATAAAAATATAAATAAAATAACAGTTTAATTGTGATTGTAAATTATAAATAAAAGAGCTATGTTAAATGGAGAAAGTAGTACTTTCCTGGGCAAAGAGGAATTAACTTTTAGAAGTTAGAGATCAAGAAATAGTAAGGCACCCAATTATCCTACTAATATTAAAATAAAATTGAAGACGAGTTAGGATTACAAGGAATAAAAATAATATATTTGATTGTTTAACATAAATATGGGATATTGGAAGGAAGAATTTTGTTAACTAGATCTAACATAAAAACACAAAATTTTTTAAAACTTTACGTTTCCAGGAAAAGTGTTTTCTGTTAGTGATGGTCAATTTATTTC